CCTGCCACAACACCTGGCTATTTTTTGGTTACATCCATCATTGTTGTTTGGCAGCGCAGGCTGGATTCGAACCCGCCAGCTCAGGTGTATGTGGCTGGCGCCTGGTGCCCTAACCACTTGAGCCACAGGCACCGAGCCAGAACCTGCATTCTTAACCAGCATTATATGCAACTTCTAATCTCTTATAGGTCCAGAAGGGTAAAGGAACTTACATGAGATCTCAATGGGAATCTGCCTTGACAGTAGCAAGCACAACAGAGAAAAACAGGAATTGGGCTTATACCTGCTGCCCCACTTAAGCACCTGCTAAAACAAAGCCTCCCTGGCCGAAGTTGTTGCCCAAAACCATTTTATTAGGAGAGAAAACACCAGAAGGCTATCTTCTGGAGGCTTCCGGGCCTCTCACCTTAGGCAGTGGGGTCCTCAAACCCATGATCTATTAGGAAAAGACTAAAATAAGGTTCTATGGCTGGGCCACCCTCTGCACTTTAGATGCCATGCTGAGTTGCAGGTTCTGTGTCCATGTTTCTAGGTTGAGACTTGAGCTGTAGACTCACAAGCAAGATCTGCAGGCCCCACAACCTTGTCTTCAGAGTTGCCCACATGGGGTAATTCTGTATACTTGCGGGCAGAGCCACGTGATAGGTGGGCTGGGTAGCGTTGCCGGTTGGTGTCCATTTTGGAGAGCACTGCTTGGGGCAGATCCACATGGCATCGAGCAGCTAAGGCCACCAAGTAGATGAGGACATCACTAAGCTCCTCTTCAAGGGCTGCCCGTTCTTTGGGAGGCCATGCCTGGGGACCAGGCTCCTCATCAGGCTTCCACTGACTAAGGGCAGAACACAGAAAGACAAACACAACAGATACTAGCTAGGACAATGGGCTCTACCCCAGTCCTTACAGCAATGATCTCCCACCTCGAAGGAGGTACTTCCAAGAACAACCCAACCCATCTGGGCCCTGAAGAGTTAGGGTGGGGGAAGAGACTCTAACAGATAATAGCCAGATCTTTGTGTCTCTTTCTGAGCCAAGGAATGGCCAAGAGAATATTTTACTTGTTGAGACAGAGCTCTAAAACCTAATTCTACTTCTCTTGAGCCGTAGCCTCAGACCTGGACCACTGCTGAAGCCTTTTACTAATCTCCCTGTTCCCTCATCTACTCTTGCCCAGAACAATTTTTTTTTTTTTTTTTTGAGATAGAGTCTCACTTTGTCACCCTTGGTAGAGTGCCATGCTGTCACAGCTCACAGCAACCTCCAACTCGGGCTTAAGCGATTCTCTTGCCTCTGCCTCCTGAGAAGCTGGGACTATAGGCACCCACCATAACACCCGGCAAAGTTTTGTTGCAGTTGCCACTGCTGTTTTAGCTGGCCAAGGCCGAGTTTGAACCTGCCCCCTCAGTATATGGGACTGGCGCACTACCTACTGAGCCACAGGCACTGCCCCCAAACAATCTTTTAAAAGCAAAATGTCATTTTGTCACTTCCCCAATTAAACCCCACCTCACCAGTGCTTAATCTAAACAACTACAGTGCCCTCCGCATCCTTCATGAGCTGACCCCTGCCTTTTCCAATGTTAACACCCACCACTCTCTCTCACTTCCCACCTAATGCCACCCTCACTTTCTGCCTTGCAAACAGGTCAGACTATCACAAGGCCTTTGTACTTCTGCTTCCTTTTCCTTGAATCCAACTCCTCCCCCCCATCTTTCCCATGGCTGGCTCCACTCTTTTTTTTTTTTTTTTTTTTTGAGACAGAGCCTCAAGCTGTCCCCCTGGGTAGAGTGCCATGGCATTACAGCTCACAGCAACCTCCAACTCCTGGGCTCCAGCGAGTCTCCTGCCTCCGCCTCCCAAGTAGCTGGGACCACAGGCGCCCGCCACAACGCCTGGCTATTTTTTGGTTGCAGCCGTCATTGTTGTTTGGCGGGTCCAGGCTGGGGATTCGAACCCGCCACCTTAGGTGTATGTGGCTGGCGCCTTAGCCGGTTGAGCTATAGGCAGCGAGCCGGCTGGCTCCACTCTTAGCTCTGATGTCACCTCCTTAGAAAAGCCTTCTCCCTCTATTACCTGCCACTGTGAAAGGAAGAACTGTGTCTCCCTTGTTCAAGGCTATATAATCTTGATTCTACAAGACCTAGTACACAGTTGATTATAAATCTGTAATGAATGGTTTGTGCTCGAGCACATCTCTGTGCCCCCGTTTCTCCATCCCCACAGTGACTGCCCTGGTCTAGGCCTCACCACCTCTAGTCTGGGCTACATCAGCCTCCTCACTGCCACATTCTCTCAGTGATTCAGTGATTCAGCCAGTACACCCCAGATCTGGCCAAGTCCTCTGTCTAAACTGTCCATTACTCTCTTGCCCCAATCCTATCTTTCTGGGTTCATCTTGCAACTCTGTCCTCTACAGCCCTATCCCTCATTCATACGTATCTCCTGAGTGGCTACTATGTGCTGGGCATGTGGGACACATCAGAGAACAAACATAAAAAACCCTTGATTTTCTTGAGAAGTTTACACTGAAGGAGGAACAGATTCTCCCTGAATTTACCTTGCCCTTACTTTCCTGCCTCACTACCTTCCCAATTGTAGTTCCCACTGTCTGGAATGCCCCAGGAAGGTCTTTTATAGAACACCTTCCTTTCAGTTGCAGAGGCAAAGGAAAAGAAGGGCTGTTGCTATCACTCCTTCTTAGACCCGAATCTGTTTTGCCATTTTCATCTTTCTCTCCAGGGGACAGGGCGCCCCTAGAGGGCATCGATGCCTCAATCATCTCTGTATCCCCAACACAGGCACTGGGAACTGGCAGTGAGGTGGGGAAACTGAACCCAGGGAATATTTGATGATCAAATAAATGCTCCCTTTCCCCTCCCTAACAGCATGCAGACTCTTCCAGGAAGTCTTCCATCTACTCACAAGAGTTCTGCCAGCTCTCCCACTTCCCCCACCAAGGCCAGGAGGAGGTTCCGAGGCTGGTGGAATTGGTCCCAGTCTCGTTCAGCAGCAAACTCGGCATGGAGTCGTCGGCTGGAATAGGACAAAAGGGTGGAAGCCCAAGTCTCAGAGTTAAGGGGGAGGAGATGCAGCTTCCAAGCAGCTGTCCCAGTAGTCTGTAGGGGATTGTCCAACTAATTCCTTGGAAATTTCCTGTTTATGGAACTTCGTTTCTTTATCTAAAAAAATAAATGGGCGCACCCTCAACCCGACATAACAATACCCTGTTCGTTATTCCATCTCCTACTGCTACTTTTGTAGTTGTTCGTATCTCTGTGCATCAAAATCCTATTTATCTTACAAAATGCAGTTCCATGATCACTTCACCTAAGAAGCCTTGATTTCCTCCAGCAAGAAATAATGTCTCCCACCTCTCGGCACTTCACTTTCCCTGTGGTACCACCCACTTCTGAAGGTATCCCAGCACTGGGGAGAAAACGGCTCAGACTCAGGGCTGGGATAAATCAAGTAAGGTGTGCACTGTTGCGTCCATTTCACAGATGAAACGGTTAGAAGGCTCGCTCGGAGTCAGCCGGCAGAGCCAGAACCCGAGCACTGCTGCTAGCTTTCTTCACGACCACGTGGTAGGACCCGCCCCAATCTGAGGGAGAAAGGGGCAAAGAATCTCCCCAGCCTGGGCTGGGCAAGGACTGCTTACATGTCCTCGAGCGTAGGCTCTGGGCTAAAGCTGAATCGGCCGACAGGGGCAGGACCCTTTCCCCCAGTGTCCCCACTCATCTCTCCACCAGCCATAGACAGGATGTCCACGGCGCCGCAGCCGCCACTGCCCAGGAGACCCGACTGCCCCAGAGACTCCGGCGCCACGCTTGGAGCCCGCCCCCAGGGCCACTGACCAATCACAGGCGTCCACCGAGGGTTTTTTTCACCGGGTGGAGCCAGAGCAAAGACCAATGACTTCAGTGAAGTTTGCTACAGACAGCCCTTACCCTGACTGGACCAATCTGAGGCAACTTCAAGAGCGCGCGCCTAGGCTCAGGTCCTGGAATTTTCCGGCTGGACCAAGCATCTTAAAGGTCTAGAACTAATTCGACCAGAAGAGACAGAGCAGAGAGCGGGAGATCGCAGGCGCGCCACTTCCCTTTTGGGCGCCAGATGGCGTCAAAGCGAAATGGCGGTGAAGGAGTGCGCCCGCTCGATGGAAACTCTGATAAAGGGCCATATGCCTAGCTATCTCAGGTCTTAGGGACACTGTGAAACCCTTTGGACAAGCCCCCGCACTGTTTGGATGAGATTAAAGGGAAAGAATGGAGCAAAGATAGGATTGGGACGCAGGTCTTGTGTTCCACTTCAGCTCCCTGCCACTAGCTGTGTCTTGTAGTTGAAAGGATTTAACCCCCAATCCCTATCCTAAGGAATCAGTTGGTCCTCCTCCCTGCCCTGAGCATAGAACATGGTAACCTGTTACAAGTTTGACCTCTGCGCCTCTCTCCAGTCTCTTGGGTCACTAGCACAACCCCTCCATCCCACACATGAGAATGCCAAGCTCATTTACACCAGAGAAATGACAAGGTAGGCGGTTCCTGTAGCTCAGTGGGTAGGGTGCCGGCCACATACACCAAGGCTAGGGGTTCGAACCCAGCCCCGGCCAGCTAAAACAACAATGACAACTGCAACAATAACAACAACAAAAATAGCCAGGCGTTGTAGCAGGCTTCTGTAGTCCTAGCTACTTGGGAGGCTGAGGCAAGAGAATCACTTGAACCCAAGAGTTTGAGGTTGCCATGAGCTGTGACACCATGGCATACTACTCAGGGCCACAGCTTGAGACTCTGTCTCAAAAAAAAAAAAAAAAAAAGACAAGGTAGTTGAATCATGGAATTGTTATTTTCAAATCTGAGAACTACCGGGAAGAGTAGAGATCTTTTTTTTGTTTGTTTGAGACAGAGCCTGAAGTTGTTGCCCTTGGTAGAGTGCCAGCTCACAGCAACCTCCAACTCCTAGGGCTTAAGCTATTCTCTTGCCTTAGCCTCCCACGTAGCTGGGACTACGCTGGATGTACAGATGCCTGCCACAACACCCAGCTATTTTTGTTGTAGTTGTCATTGTTGTTTGGCAGGCCTGGGCTGGACTCGAACCCACCAGCTCTGGTGTTATGTGGCTAGCGCCAAGAGTAGAGATCTTTATGAAACCCAACAGCAAGCTTAATCTTGTAAAGACTTATTTGTTATTGTACTCTTGCTAGGGCCAGTATCTGATCTTCAGGAGTTCACAGAGGCTTGCAGTTTGTGGAAGTGAGAAAATAAAGCAGGTGTCCTCAAACTGCGGCCCATGGGCCACATGCAGCCCGCCTAGGACATTTATCCAACGCGCTGGGTGTTTTTGCCACCGTTGCCTATCCTGCTTAGCAGCCAACTTGTCCCAGCGCCTAAAGTCTGGCCCTCCAACGGTCTGAGGGACAGTAAACTGGCCCCCTATTTAAAAAGTTTGAGGACCCCTGGAATAAAGAAAGGAGGCGGGCATGGTGGCTCAGCCTATATTCTAGAACTCTGGGAAGCTGCTCAAGCTCAGGAGTTCAAGACCCATCTGAGCAAGAGCCAGACCCTGTCTCCACTAATAAGAGAAACTAGCCAAGTATGGTGGCACATGATTGCAGTCCCAGCTAGTAGTGAGGCAAGAGGATGTCTTGAGCTGTGAGCTATGGCAACGCCCTGGCACTCTACCCAGTGCAGTGGAGTGAGACTCAGTCTCTGATAGATAGATAGATAGGGCAGAGAGTTAGACTTTAGAAATTAAAATACTAGGGCCAGTGCCTGTGGCTCAAAGGAGTAGGGCGCTGGCCCCATATGCCAGAGGTGGCGGGTTCAAACCCAGCCCTGGCCAAGAACTGCAAAAAAAAAAAAAGAAAGAAAGAAAAGAAAGAAACAAGAAAGAAATTAAAATCCCCAAAGCATGGCAATTCCACTTCTAGGTTCATGCCCTAGAGAAACTAGTGCATGTATACAAAGAAACATATACAAGAAGTTCATTATAGTTTTGTTTGTGATAGTGTAATCTCAGTACTTTAGTAGGCCGAGGAGGAGGATCACTTGATGCCAGAAGTTTGAGACCAGCTTGGATAACATAGTGAGACACTGTCTTTGCAAAAAGTAAAAAAATTATAATAGCTGGGCATGGAGGTGTGTGCATGTAATCCTAGCTACTGGGGAGGCTGAGGCAAGAGGATTACTTGAGCCCAGGAGTTCAAGGCTGCATTGAACTGTGATCAGCCCACTGCACTGTAGCCTGGGAGAAAGAGCCAGGCCTTGTCTCTAAATAAATAAATAGGCTATCAACTGAAGAATGGGTACATTGAATTATACAAAGGATATTATTCAGCAGTTAAAACTGAATGCATGCAACAGAAACAAGTTTGAACTGGTTTTAACTAGAAAAGGGCTTTGGGGCAGCACCTGTGGCTTGGTGAGTAGGGCACCGTGCCCATATACCAAGGGTGGCAAGTTCAAACCTGGCCCCTGCCAAACTGCAACAACAAAAAAATAGCCAGGCATTGTAGTCTCAGCTACTCGGGAGGCTGAGGCAAGAGAATCGCCTAAGCCCAAGAGCTAGAGGTTGCTGTGAGCTGTGACGCCAGGACACTCTACCAAGGGCGAAGAAGTAAGACTCTGTCTCTAAAAAAAAAAAGAAAGAAAGAAAAGGGCTTTTATTATAACATGAGAATACAAGAGTGTCTCCAGGATACAGCTGGGACTTAAGAATGAACTGGAACTAGGGTAGCTGTTTTAAGCATTTTACATAGTTAATCCTTACAACAACTCCTTTAATATTCATAGCAACCCTATGAGGTAGGTAACATTATCATCCTGATTTTACAGATAAGGAAATTTCAAGGTTAAATAACTTAAAAGTAAAATGGTAGAGCCAGGTTTCAAATCCAGGCAGTTTGACTTCAGAGTCTGTGTTTTTAGCCCCCATGCTATATTACCTGAAATGGTGATAAATACTATGAATAAAATGTTAAATGTTACTGTATTTTAAACACTATGAAAAGCAATGGGGCATCTTTAGATTGCATAGTCCAGAGGAAATCTGGTAACAATTGCCCCTTCCTCCTCCTCTTTTCTTGCAGATTTTTTTTTTTTTTTTTTTTTTGATACAGAGCCTCAAGCTGTCCCCCTGGGTAGAGTGCTCTG